GAACATAGTGCATATTCAAGCTAAAAGTTTGGTATCAACGCCTTTTTTGACCGACTTCCCAAAAGAAGGAGGTACTCAATTCGTCTGTATGTTTTTTTTTTTTTATCAACGAATTATTTCGTCGACGAGTATTGAGGTTATTTTTCTTTTGTTCGCAATCTGGTTGTACGGTCGTTGTATGTTGGCAGCCCTTTATTTAAACCAGACTTTGTATTCTCGAATACTTGAATATAAAATGTAACGAAAATATCATCATAAAGTCCAATCGTCCAGAAAATGTGTGGGAACGAATTGAAACGACGCTTTTAAGTCAACGACCGGTCAGTTGTAGTGCAATATGTAGTTTCTTCGCTTAATACAAACTAGTAACCCCGCTTCGCTTGGATCGGATTTTTTTTGTTTTAATAAGAGAATAAGTATATTTTATGTAACACGTACCTATATAATGAAATGATGCATTTAATTAACTTGATAAACACATGTATAAACATATCGTAATTGCTGTTTGTTTTAAAAAAGAGTAAAATATAGGACTTACAGACCAACAGATTACCAGATACTTTATTTTTATTAAAAACATTTAGATAAATTCGATGTTTAGTGCATTTTGTCTAAGTCTAGACTAAACGTATTAAGCCAGCATTAACAGACTATAACGTGACACATATTTAAGCAATGAAATGCAATTGTCTGTACATGGTACCCTCATTGAATTTGTTTAATGTAATGGCACAGAAGTGTTACTAATTGGCCATTCTAATATTAACTAGCAAAGACATTAATTTATTAAAACCTGCCCTTAACCTTTCAAACGACAATCAGAATCTGAGTCAGGTACATTACTGTTAAGATTTAAGACAACATTTGACTTTGGTGTAAAATATTAAAAAGAATCGACTCTCGCTAATGCATTAGTAAAAACATTTTATATCAGTATAATTTTATTATGTTTGATGAATTCATCAGAAAGTAACTAAAGCCAACTATTCCATCTTTTTTAAAACAGTTCTATTTCGATGTAAATAGATAGCTTTATTCTTTAATCTTTGGTTTGGCATATATGTTGGTATTTCTGGACAATGTAACCAGATTTGGCAGGGTTTTCCAAGATAAAAGCAAAACGCAATGTAAAGCACTAGTAAACTTGATTAAAAGGAATGCTAAATACGACACAAAACCTGCAACCAAACATATTTACCCAGGCAAATAATTTAATATTAAAAAAAACTGAGACTTGTTACCTTTATGATTTAACTGGAGTTTTTTTATCAATCGTTTTTCTACATTTTAATCCAAAAAAGCTGCAGAAAAAATCAAGTGAAGTCTGGTCACACTGTTTTAGCTAACAAGTAGTTGTAAATAAAAAAAAAACATTAAGTTGATAATCTGATAAGAAATGTCATAAAATGACATTTGAATATTTTTGAGTTGTTGCTCAACTTTTTTTTTATTAAATTGAATGAAACATTACGAACAAAATCTAAGAAAAAGTCTAATAATGGTGTCTGGAATTGTATCTGGCAGGTTAGCCCTAGTTACAGGTATTTACTTAGTATATAATAAGTACAACTTTTTAGAGTTTAAAATAACTTTGAACTTTGATATCAAGTAATAAAAAAATGAAATCACACCAAGTGCATTTGAGTTTAATTAGTTAAAATCTCAAGTTACAATTATAGAGTTTTTGAAGTTCTTAAAATTCTTTAAAAATAGTTTTATTTGCTAATAATTGTTTTTTAAATAAATAGGTGCTGGGTCTGGTATAGGCAGAGCTGCTTGTCAAGTTTTGTCTCGTGAAGGGGCCACAGTTATAGCTGCGGATAAAGACTATGAGGCTGCCCTAGAAACTATAAAGAAGCATTCCGCTTTAGCTTCAGGATCAAATGGTACTATGGCCTTTTTTAAATGGGCTAAAAATTATTTTAAAAAATACCTTTTAGCTCTAAGATATTACGATGTTATAACACTACACAAAATATTATTATCTGTGGTTAAAACTGAGTCTAACATAAAGTTCTATCCTTTTTTTAACAAGAATTAAAAACTTGTAAAAATTTTCTTACTCTAAAAAAAATTTTGTTTTTCTTATAAGTGTTTAAAGTTATTTGGATGTTCAGTAAATGCTCACTTACTGCGTTGGCGCAGCGACCTAAAATGGGTCTTGGCCTCCGACATGAGAGAGTGCCAGCGAGTCTGTTGTGCATCATCACCTGCCAGCTGATCGACTTAAATGTAAATGTAAATGTAGAGTATATGCTCAATATTTATAAATACTGCAGCAGTTGGTGATCATAGTGCTGTGGAATTGGATGTATCAAGTTCAAAATCAGTAGCTGAACTTCTTACCAAACTACAGAGACAATATAAAGCTCCACCAACTATTATAATTAACTCGGCCGGTATTACCAGAGACAATTGGATGCTGAAACTATCTGAAGATGATTTTGATAATGTACAAGATGTTAATTTAAAGGTATTTATGATTTTAGTTTACGGTAATTATCACCTATAATTTATTATCTTTAGCTAGTGATTTTGTCTCCATCTAATTAAAAAACGATAGTAAGTTGCATATGTGTTCTTCCAGACTAAGTTTTACTTGTGTGCCTTCATAATTCAGTAAGCTGTTTTGAATATACAGAGTAAAACATCCATCTATCTAAACTTTAACATGGTCGCATACATATTAATTGTTAGTTATATATTATTACTATGGAAATATTCACAAAAACAAAACATAAAAACAACATAGTCAAAATGTTTCCTATAAATTCCATATTAGTGCATATTTTTAGTGAGAAGACCCGTTTTTTTACAAATGTTGTTCAGCAGTAACTCAATCTTTGGTACCCAATGTAACTTTGAAAGACATTGCAATTTAAAGTGTGGTATTTTCTATATTTCAGGGTACATTCCTTATAATGCAAACATTTGCTAAAGCAATGACAGAAGCATCTTTGCCGGGATCAATTGTAAATATATCTAGTATTGTTGCTAAATATGGAAATATAGGTAAATTTTTAATAATATGTGATATACTTTTGTCAATGACTCCTTCTAGGGTGAAATTGAAACATAAGTATGTAGCATATGTGTTCTTCCGGATTGTTCTACATCTGTGCCAAATTTCTAACTAAAATATCCATCCACTTAAGTTTTTGCATTCATATTATTAGTAGTATTAGTAATTTCTTGCAAACGCATCATGTTAAATTCTTCTATGATTTTATATTTTTATTTACAGGACAAACGAATTATACAGCAAGCAAAGCAGGTGTTATTGGAATGACGAAATCTGCTGCCAAAGAATTAGGAAAATTTAATATAAGGTAGATAAATGAAACTGTTGATAATTTTGTTGTACACAAAAGTAATAACAATATGTTTAATGCTTAATTTTTCAGAGTAAATGCAATTTTACCTGGTTTCATAGACACACCAATGGTGGGTACAGTTCCAGATAAAGTAAAGGAAAATTTCCTCAAAATGATACCTTTAGGTAGATTAGGAGATCCTATTGGTAAGTATTACTAGTTAGATAGGTTAGATATATTAACTAGCTTTCACCCGCGACTCCGTCCGCGTAGAATTAAAAAATAGGTGTATGTAGTGTTCTTCCAGACTATCCTCTATATCTATGTCAAATTTCATCGAGATCCCTTCAGCTGTTTAGACTACAAACTCTAACAAACATCTATCCATCTAAACTTTTGCATTTATATTAGTAAGATTAGTAAGATATATTGGTTATATACTCAACATAGAAATAGCAAAATCTAATTTAGTATGGATTTATATTCTTTTCAGTTGTTTCCTCAGTCAGTATATGTACTGCTTTTCTGTACATCTCATGTTAATTGTTATATCTAAATTACTGCCTTAAGAATATCCTATTTCTCACAATACATATAACTGAGCTGAGTCAATCTAGAATTAGAATGTCTATGTTCTTTTTCTTGTTTTAATTATTAGTTTAGTTTTTTTTAAGTACTTTTATTATGTATATTGCAATGTGTTTTGAGCTGATTAAATGATTTAATTATCATCTTATTCATTATTTAGCTAGATTTAATGGTTTTAGTTTTAAATCTTTTTTAATTTTCAGAAATAGCTGAAGTAATAACGTTCCTTAGTTCTGATAAGAGTTCGTTTGTGACCGGAGCGACTGTTGATGTTACGGGAGGATTTTAATCTGTATTTTTAATTTTTTTTAATCTGTAGAGAAATTTTACAAATTATGTGGTTGGGTTTTAAATTGTTATACTTTTGTATATGTTGGGTAAAATTGGTGCTTTATAACTAGTTGTAAGAGTACAGTTGAAATATTAAAATGAACCCTGTGATATGTGAAAAAGAATAATAAAATGTGTTCATATTAATCCTATATTAGTATGAGATAGTACAATTGTGAGAATTATATACATTACTTCGAAAATTCAAACAATTATGATGAATGTTGACACATGGTTGAGACATTTTTTACTGTAATTTTGATATGTTTAATTTTTTTATTAAACTTTGATATTATATGAGTAGTTTTTTTTTATTTTGTCATCAGCTATTAATTTATTTAATACTTTTGCACATATAATACAATAAAAGTTAAATTAAGTAATATTATATTTGTGTAAGGGCGGCCTTATCGCTAAGAGCGATCCCTTCCAACTCTAACAGCTATTATCCGAGTCAATTTGTAATTTTACATAACCCACTTTGATAAACAGATTAAAATAATACAACATTTGAAATTAGAAACACTATATTTCAGCTACGTGATTTCTTGCCTTTTAATTTATTCTTTTTTAATTCTGATTTATTCTTCTGACGCTTATCTCTCATGAATGTTCTGTATTCAGATTTCCTCTTATCATCTAATATCTCCTTGTATTTCTTCTTATTGTACTTCTGGAATTCCGCATCTGCTAATAATTCTTCTACCATAGTTCTCTTTCTTTGTTTTCTTGTCATTCTCTCATTGACATGATCTAACGCAGAATTCTCAACTCTGCCAACCTGTAATACACCATAGCACTTTGGTATATAAAATTATAAAAATAAATAAACTCAAGTAAATAGTTTTGTTTAAATGTTTAAAGTAATTGTTTAAACAATGTTACTGTAATATACTGAGAATATTGTATATAATGCAAAGCCTTCATGAGAGAAAATTTAAACACAAATAGTTTTTTGACATGATAATCTACACTATTATAATATTATGAAGAGGAAAGATTTTTATTTTTGTATATATTGAAATAAATCAAAAACTACTGGGCTGATTTCAAATTCCTTTCACCATTAAAAAGCTACATTTGAAGTTAGTAACGCAGATTATATGTATTTTTTTTAATTTTACACAGGACGAAGTCGCGAGCAACAGCTAGTGTGTCATAAAATTAATAAACGTCAGTTGCATGCACGAAAAACCATGAATTATTATCACATGTGTGCGAGTGTGAAAAACTAACAAAAGAGAAGCACATATTGCCTCAGTATTCAAGCTTATAATATTACTACATAAATTATTATTCAACAGACTTACAAATAACCAATATTTGTTTTCACACTGACTTAACTTCTTATTACTAAATCAAAATTACAAAATGATTTGACGGTAGAGATGCATAGGAAGGGAAAATATCTTCTTTATGTGCATCTCCTCCATCAATTAAGGGTAGGCAACACATCTGCAATTGCCGATGTTTATGGGCAACAGTCACTTCCCATTTCAGTGGATTCAGGTGGCCACTTGCTTGTTTGCGACTCTATATTATAAAAAAAAATAACATGACAACTTACCTGGAAATATTTCGGGAGAACTTCCATATCATTTTTCTTGTAAAAGTGTTTAGGATCCAAGACAGATCTCATTTTTAAAACTTGTAAATCATTCTTCAAGTCTTCATTTATCTCTGGTGCTTTCATGTTAAACCATCCTGGTCCCTTTGTCTTTTCTCGTTGTTTCTGTAAATAAAATAGGGAAATAATCAATAATTTTCATAATTTCAACTTCTAAATATAAAGTTCCTAAATTAAATTTGGCGTAAAAGTAGAATATTTGGAAGAACGCATAGGCTTACTAAGTTTTCTTTTTAATTCCTGGCACAAGAGAGCATAGGCAAAAGCTAGTTAATTATAATAATATCAACTTGTGGATGTACATTTCTGAGTTTTTAAGTTACTTACCTTTCTTTGTGCTCTTAATCTCTTGTCACTTATATCATACCGAGGCAAACGGTGTGCCTTCTCTATTCCTGGTTGCAATACTGATTTCTGCATTTCTTTGTCAACATCAACTGATCCCAAATTGGATTTAAGTTTGCCAGTTTCAATGTCCAATTGATCGAAATGAAACTTCTTGATTATCTTCTCTTTTTTCATAATAATTGATCTGTTCCATCCCATTTCATCAAAGAAATCTTCGAAAACATCGTCTATTTTAAGGCCTTTTATCTTATTTTGTACTTCTTCTTCCTCTATTTCTAACTTATCTAAATCTTCACGTTTCTTTTCAAATAGATTTAAGATATCTTCGATTCTACTCTCTGTGTCTGTGAATGCAGTAGTCGTTTCATTAGGATTTTAAAGTTTAACAAACACTTGTTTGTTGTAGTAAGAAAACTATGAAAATAATAACAGTCTAAATAAAATAAAAATGCAAATAAATATCATGCCAAGATAACATAGACCGGGACAGAAAGCAGAACATCAAAATAGAAGCGAATGATGTACTAACCTATAAAAAGTTTATCCTCTTCCTTTAATAATTCTGTTTTAACTTGGAGATCGTCGTCTCCGACGGTATCAATGATAAAATCCATGTTAAAGTGTAATATCCTTTAAATTAAAACATATCAACTACCATGTGGACCAAAATCGTAGTTTCGATCGTTTGACAGCTGACACTGACAGTGACAGATACTAACCCAAGCGTCAAAGTCATTCCCTATTGCTAGGTATGGGTGCCACTTTATAGATTGAGTCACATTATTCTATGTACCGAATTGTCTTTATTGAAAAGTATAGTAAATGAAAGCATGTTTTTATAAATCTTAAATATATCTAGATGATCATTACTTGTAATCAGTATCTTTTAAGATATCAAAGAAAATAGTTATTTATTTCTATGAAGTCACAAACTAATCAAAATCAATTGAACTACTTTTTATTATAAACAATTTACAAAAACAATGTCTTTATAGCATTGTGAAGGATATTTACTTTACTTTTCTCTAAAATATAATTCAAATCGTTTTTTTGTTTGTTTTCAATAACAAATTCTTTTTCAATAACGTATAGAATAAGAAATTCCTTTTAGATATGCTTAGGTATTATAAAAAGCTGCAAGTCAAATGCGTGTAAAACTAAGTTAACAGTGCTTTCAAATTGAAAAACTCAAAAGTAATAAAACAGAATAAAGTATAAAATATTTTAATCTTAAAATTAAGTCATACAAATAACAAACATTGTCAGGAGCGTTCGATTAAAGGATTATACACATTTTTTGTAACATTAACAAATATTTCTGAAATTAATCTGCGATGTAATGAATTAACAAATCAAGTTTTACAGATCTTATTAAGTTATAAAATATTGAGTTATCCAAGAAGTGGTTATGTAAAGTCAATCGGTTTAAATAACATCCACAATTTTTCAAATGCAGCTTGGTATTGTTGTACTAGATCTTTCTGTGAGGTCACTGTGACATCTTCCCAGTTGCCTGACATAGCTTGGTTAGTCCAATTTAAAGATCCTAACATTACATAGGGTGTTGCCAATCCATCATCAGCTAATGTATCAATAAGACAGAATTTATGATGCATTAAATTAGTTGACTTCAACCACCGCACTGGAACACCATGTTTTTCTAATTTTCTAGCACAAGATCCCGTACAATAAGCCATATCTGCATCTATTATTAAGCGAATTTTAATACCTCGATAATGCAACTTCATCAGAACATTACTCACATCTGAATTTGTAATTATATACATGCATATATCAATGTTATATCGAGGCCCGTTTAAATAATACAAGAATCGCTCCATACTAGGAGTAACAACGCAACGTGAGTATTTGCTCTTTTTAAGTTCAAGTGTTCCGTAAGAGAATATTATAACTTCGTTTATTTCTTTTCTATGCGGGTTTACTTGCTTTTTTCTTCTTTGATAAAAGTTGTAAATAAGCTGAGAAGCGAATGTCACTGAGGCTATAGTTATAAGAGTTCTAAAGATGACTTTGTAAGCCATGGTCCATATAGTGTTATTACCGAATTCGATCAGACTAATAAATCTAGAACTTTGAGGGTAAAAATATCAAAAATCACAAAAAGAAAAAATTACACTGGTCAGAATTTGAAGTCGCGGGCTGTCAATGTGTCAATGTCAACTCAATTTGTTTGTCATTTGACTTTTTTTCACCTCAAAAAGCAATAGCTAAAAGACATATGGTCAATTATAAAAATTGCAGATGGTCTTTTTTCTAATTTTAATCAAATTTAGTATTTGATCACTAACAAGTTTTATTAGTCCCTCAAATGAGCCGTCGGATGTAATAGTGTAATCGTACAACAGCAGAATCTCTGAAGGAAATTAGTCTAAATGAGAGAAAAATACTATAACTAAATATAAAACGATTTTTACATTTAGTTATTTCTTGATTATTTGTAAAGTGAGGCGGTATCGCCACCGTTACAATTAATAAGCCACTAATATTGCAATTTAAACGTGAATCAAAAATAGTAAAGCTTCTTTTCTTACAATGTTATATTATTAATTGTAAAATCGTGCGGTCTTAATCTTAAATTTAAATTGTACGAACTATGATGAGACGGTTGCAATGGATTGCTGTAACTCCCTATCAATGCGCAAGAGCCGTAACTGTTTTCTGTTGATCCACCATAATTTGAAACGTTTTGGGACATTAATGTATTGGAATTCGGTATGTACTGTCGATTTCCGACGTTTTGCATCATTAATGAATAATCATTTTGATATAAACCGGTATTCGATAATGGAATACCAAGATTGAAATTTAGGTTATTTGTTTGAAAATGGTGAAGCCACGGTTCTTTGGTGTTCCTTGTATAATCTTGCCTAGGGTCGGTTTGATGCGGGATACCAATCGGTACAGGTATTGGTTCTGGTGAGTTATGGCTTGTGGAACTTCGATGAGATGATAAAGCGGAACGCTCGTTACGACGAAACTTTGCTCGTCTATTTTGGAACCAAACCTGTAAAGAACAAAAAAAATGTAAATTTATACTGCCAGTATCGTTTGGTATCGCTTTTTTTTAATCACATCGTGTATTTACCTGAACTCTCGCTTCAGTTAAGTTAACTCGCGCCGCTAAATCTTCTCTAACAAACGCATCAGGGTAATGTGTTTTTTCAAACACTTTCTCTAAAGCAGCCAACTGTTGACTTGTAAATGTAGTCCGATTTCTTCTTGGCTTCTTTCTTTCGTCTGTTTTCCCGTCTCTTTCTTCTTCGGACTCTTTTTGTGAATCCTTTTCTTTTAATTTACTTTCATCATATTTTCTCCGTACATCTTCGTATGAAATGTAATCTACTGGTTTGATATATTGGCGTTGAAGGTCTTTAGAGTACCAGGATAAATCGTTTTGATAGTTATTGTCGTATGTGCTGTTTTGTCGGCCAGCGGTCAAGTGATGCAGTCTTAGTAGACTGTCTTCGTGACATTTGATCATTTGGAAGAGATTGTGATTATTATCTGGATAATTACCTCCGTTTAAATTGTAGTTCACTTGAGAGTGGCTTCTAGCATCATAAATTTTAGTCGGTACTGTCTGTCTTACTGCATTGTTATTTTCTGTGAACAAAAAATGTTAGTTAAGCTTTTTTAAGTATCGCTTTTTGTGTGCAGCAAATATTCGTAATTTTCACAACTTTAGGGAAAGAATAAAACAGAAAATCTTGAACGCCATTGTATGAGAATACAAGATGAATTCCTATTACGCGTACTACCCCAATATAACGCGAAAATCACCCACGTAAATCGTGTAATAGAGGAGGTTACTGTACATGTTTAAAAATGTGCATATATGTACTTAAAAATTACAGAATCTTTTGCAGCACATGTGATGCCGCTTCAATTGGTACTCTCTGTGATCCTTTGTACCTCTGAAGTGTAGAGTACGGACCACAGAGTGTGCCGACAGCACAGGCCTATCGATTACACGACACGTGCGAACGATTGCTTACGCCCCTTTGATTTCTGTATGCATAAAACGGATTTTCTCCGCAACGCTAAAGCAAAAAAATTACGTCTTAAAAGTCAAACTATACGGTATTTTTTATAATAGACCTTATTATTAAAAGTAAAGTAACAATTGCGAAAATTTCTGATTGAATACCACATTTTTTTTATTTGCAATGCATTGCGTTGTGGTTATTTTGGGGAAATCGCGTAAACATTCGCGGCTGGCATTTGGTATTAACAACATAAATAATGTGTTAAATTGTTGTCGATATTATATGGCCTTCCTTTGCTTTACCAATTTTCTCCAAGTTGTCCGTAAAAAAGCCTTGTGTCTCCTACGCATCGAAATGTCTCGACAGTAAATCTAGTTACTAAAAAATAGTTAAGAATTAAACTACGGAAAAAGGAACTTTTGAAGAAATTCCTTTACAGTAGTTTAGAAAACCATACGTATTGCCAGAAGGGGTTATGTTGGCTGTTTGTCTTCCGTGATCTTCGACATAATGATTTTTTTAAAAGTAAAAATACTTCTAACTTTTTACACATTTTATTGAACAAACCATCCCGTCTCTATTAGTATTTACTCGTATATTTTTAACATGTATTGAAATTAAGAAAATATTATAAACATACGAAAATACTCTAGGAACATTAAATGGGATAATTTTAACAGTGGTAGAGCCTGCTTTAACATCTTTGCACGAATGGGTTGGCTCGCTCGGTGTAATCACACAGAAAACAGGAGTGAAGTGGAAGCAACTCCGCGTTTTGTCTGATGAGTGTGGTGCCGGAGGCCCAATTTTAGTCCCATTCCCTTTTCACCTTATTCTTAAAAGGAAAAGATGGGAAGCAAAAGTGGATTTGACGGTGGAGAAGACATACAGGAAGGGGAAATGTCCTCTTTATATGCGTCTCCTCCTCCGTCAATCAAGGGTAGGCAACGCATTTGCAATTGTGGATGTTTATGGACAGCGGTCGCTTTCCATTTCGGTGGATTCAGGTGGCCGCTTGCTCGTTTGCCACCTTATATTATAAAAAAAAAATCATATTAAGTTCTTAACTCACCTTTACTTTGTTCCATATTAGTAATTAAATTTCATGTAGCACTGTCATTTTAATAAACATTTAATTACATAAATTCTGTATAATTCAGAAAATTCTTTAGTTTCGCGAAAGCGCCACATTCAATTTAAATAAAATCCAAAGTCCGAGCCGGCTTCAATCTCGATGCCAAATAATTGATATTAATTCACTACCTTATTGAATTACCTAATTAAATAATTCGACTAACTCAGTCTAATGTGCGAACTAATGGACTCGATACACTGATCTGGCTCCGGGTATTCGAAGCTGAGAGCAACACGTGCGTTGTAGACGCGAAAAAGTACCCAGTAAACATAAAATGTACACTCCCATACCAAAATCTTAGCACAAATCTGGCCTCTACAACACTCAAGATAAACTCGAAATTAGCTAAGAATCATCATCTAGAGTTTTCTTATAACAATTTGAACTTTAAAAACCTACAAAATAAGATAACTTTTTAAAATCAATTTATTCAATGGGTGTTTCGTTCGATTCTGATTCGACACTATTTCGGTAGCCGAAAGGCGTGGCTTACTTTTGCCCGTGATAAAATAAAAAAAAAACAATTTTTACCGGGAAACGATTTGGAGACAATAATTGACACATCAACGTTTATTATTTATAGTTTAAATGAACATTGATGTTTTGTGTAATTAGTTAAGAAAAGGAAATGTTTCGTGAGGAACGTGTCATGAAAAGGCGCTTCTTGAAATAAGCGTAACTTACTATTTTCACGATTTAAACGTATTCATTTATAAAAAAAAAATCTACGAAAGAACAAACTTTATCCATTAAACTAATAATAAATTTGATATTAATCATACTTATATCGTAAATGCGAAAGTTTGGATGGATGGATGGATGTTTGTTTGAGTTTGTTGCCTAAACTGCTGAAGGGATTTAGATGAAATCTGCTATAGATGTAGGGGATAGTCTGGAAGAAAACATAGGCTGTTCACTTTTGTTTTTTTAATTCTACGCGGACGGAGTCGCGGGCAAAAGAACAAACTTCACCCATTAAACTAATAATAAATTTGATATTAATAGAATACAATAATATCGATGATTAATCGTTTGTGGTGATATTCGAAATTAATTGGGAGCATAGTTGAAGATCTGTTCAATTTGCCAAAATGTCAAATATGATTAAAATAAACAAGCTCTATTCTTACTGATAGATATTAATATTGTAATAACATGCCTGTTCATTGCAATCGTTTATTGCAATTTATTATCTTGTAACATCGATTGTAAATCTAAATTCAAAATTAGTTTAGTTCTTTTAACTATTTCGATTATAAAAAAACACAAAAAAGGTTAAATTAATTTAGCCTAATTAAGAAAATGTAATTTTTATATTAGTATAATAGAGGTTAATAATTTCAAATATTCAAAATATCCTCCTTTTGAAATGGTTACGGGCTGTGCCAAGCCGGGAATAGTACCGGGAGGTGTCACTTCGAATTAGCGTAGAATCGTGAAAAACGCCAGCGACACCGCGCCGCCGCTGTCGCCCTAACATGCCGGGTAATAATAAACTCAAATAAAATTTTATTACAAAGAAAATAAAATCACTTCAAAGATAAATTAACAAGTCTAAGCTACAGCAATCTTAAATTGGAATGTAATATGAAAAATATGCATTCAATAGGTAGCTACTCAAAGATTTAACATTATTAAATGTGTTTCTACACCATTATATTTCGGATTTTATATTTTTGCTATAATTTATATTATGAGTAACGCCCACTTTTTGATTTCCCACAAATACGTACTTTGAGTAGTTGGTAAAGCAGTGATTTTGCGAAGAGTCGGCACTTTCCTAGAAATGTAACACGTAATTTAATTTAAATGGATATTAGCCGCATGATTCCGAAAATCTGTGTAGTTGTTAGTGCTATTTTCTTGTATTTTGATCACTTAAAAAATCCAATCATTCTATATAAAATTTAATTACAAATAATTGTGTATGCTGTTCCGTATTTTGAATAAAAAATAACATAAAAAAATCCTTTCCGTTGAACATTGTATTTTCAAATACAAGCGTACGAAAGTGTCATGGCGGCCATAATTGCATGTGACAGTTGTCGGTGGCGTTGGCGCGGCGATGTCTCGTTTGCGGCTGCGCGTAACGCGAATGTACCACTTTTGTTTCGATCTTTTAATATAAATAGATATTAAGTACTTACACTCAAAAATATGTCCTTAAAATTAGTAAATAAAAAAAGTTGATTTTATTTATGCTTAGCAATTCTAAACACGGGAATTTTTTGCAGTTCACTTTATATTGTTTTCCCAACATGCATTTTTTAAACACGATCAAATGTCTCTTGATAACAAAGTATAATTGTATCCCAGAGAATTATTTTTCCAGGAATAGAAAAAAACAAATAAACGAAAGGTTCATTGTTCTTCTGACATTCCTGCACTACACGACCGTTTTATATGTTGTCCTGAAATTTCACATACGAAGTTATTAGTGCCTCTTAAAAAAAAACACTATTAATCAAACCAGTTGCACAATAATCATTAGGGCTCTGCTTCCTGAGTAGAGTAAAGTATTAATAACACTAAACAATTAAAGGTATCTATTAAAAATGTTATGTATCTATTAAAAATTAAAAATCTTTTTTTATTTTTATAAAAATAATAATAGATTTTTGTTGATTTACTAACATTTTCTTTAGTCATTACTAAGCTCTATGCTTGTGCTATGGTCCACGATAATAGTGGAATGAAAAGTCGCGTTAACTAATATTCGACTATAAATCATGTAAGCAGACATAATTTTGTCAGAGAAATGAAGTTGCGACATTTTCAGCACGGTGTGGTCTCCGTCGTCCGCGGGCTCATCTCAGGGATGTAATTCCAATAACGCGTGAACAGGACCATTTGTCAAAATATCATCCGGTAGGGTGAACATTATGTTATTGGGAATATTTTGGAATTGTGAAATATGTCTCTCTTATAAGTGTCATAAATTAAAAGAATAAACGTGGAAATTATAAACATCATTATTACCATTCATTTTTAGATACTAGTATTATAAAATAGAATAACACTATATTTAACAGATCATAATGTTTTAAAATACTTAACTAATTAATTCGATATACTTGACTTAAACAAAGCGTATACTTAAAATTAAAATACCCAAAATAGCTACAATATTAATACAAGTCTTCGAAGTACTAAAATGATGGTAAACGCAGCGCTAGCATTACAATTACCTCAACTCAATACTGCCATCAGTCACGTCGAATACACGCAACGTTGCGCACCAACTACTAATTAAGAGGTTATATTTAACTGAGATTATCTTAAATGCTAAAAAAACGAAAAACAACTCCATATAAGGTATGTAATATGTACATATATATCGATTGGTATTTTTTTTATTACTATACCTATTTAATTAATGTCGCTAGCCAAAAACTTATTAGTTTTATTAGATAATTGGTCCATACTTATCCTACCAAATAAAAAATACCAAAGAAATTAGATCCTTGTTATTAATAAGATTACACATTTAGAGCTACAAATATTAATGTAATTGTAAAATTAGACCAAACTGTACGATCCCAATGTAAAAGGCAATAACTCAAAATCGTAATTTATCATTTCGTAGGTTACAGCTCATCGCCGACCACTTCGGTGTTGACGTTTGTCCTAAATTGGCGCGCCTCGAGACAAATGAGCCGTGCGGAGACCGGAAACAACCACCCACAGGCGCCGTTACGTAAAAAAATAATGCGATTTTTAAAGAAGGTACATCAATAATAATAATTTTTAGTAGCTACGTTTACCGGAGGCCTAATTTAATTCGTTTCACTTTTTTCTTATGGAAGGGATTGGAAGGGAAAGTGAATAAAACGGTGGAGGAATCACATAGGAAGGGGAAATATCCGTTTTATGTGCGTCTCCCTCACCGTCGATAGTAGGCAACGCATCTGATGTCTATGGGCAGCGGTCGCTTCGCCGCTTGCTCGTTTGCCATACGATATAAAAATGCTTGTCTGTTTTTTCTCTTCACAATTAAAAAAGTCTAAAGCCATAAACCTACTCGATTGAAAAGATGAAAGTAACTATAGTTTAGTTATTTTAATTAAAAAAAGTTTCTGCATAAAAATATTGTTTTCTGTTTGTTCGTGCTGCCAGCTACCGCTAATTAAACTAACATTTTGTCAAACGACTCCTGACTATTAATAAACCTTATCTTTTGACAATCAGGATCGTAAACTTACAAATTACAGAGATATTTTAATCAGGTATTTCCTCAGGATATCTATAATTTGTGCCATAATCTTAATTAAAAACACGCCGTCGAGAATACACAGAGCTAGTTTTTTTTATAACAACATAGTTAAAAGTTGACACTTTTTTACGATGTCGTTTTATCGTTTTGTTGACGTTCCTTTAAGTGCATAGATGCCGGCGCCTGAAAAAGATTTTAAAAAGATATGACAGTTCTACTTAGCACCGGTGACGTGGCCCTAGGGATGATCTTTCGATATAGGGCCGATAGTGATGTCCTATAGTAGTTATGGAAGTTATCGATAGTTATGCTAAAATCAGCGCGATCTTCAGTTACAATCTGGAGGCCTCATTCTTTTAGCCATGAACTGTGACTTGTTTTCTTTCCTGTTTTGTAAATCCAACTTTCTTTTGAGAAGAAAAGTCGGGCGAAGGGAGATTTCTGTCTTTTTAAGTAATTCGGGAAATTATTTTTTTGACTTTACTGTGTTTTGTTCGGAAGTCGGTTATTTTCTCTCTATTTTTATTGTTATTACATTAGTGTGAAAATATATTGAATTGACTAACGTAGAAGCAAGAATTGTTTCCAATTATTGTAAAAATCGATTGTCCATTTACAGGACATCACTATTGTCAAGTGAAGTTCATCAGTTGTCACTGATACTTTTTTTATTTTTAAAGTAGCGGTTTCGGCCACTGACAGTTTGTAACCTTTAAATGCCACCCTTGTTTTTTAAATAACATCGTTAATGCGTTCTTGTCATACGAACAACACATACAGATAGCAACAGTCTTTAGTTCTCACCACTCCAATATAATATTATAGTCGTATCTATCCACTGTTTAGTCTCGCTTTGATATCTATCAGCTTTTTTTTATAATGTAAGGTGGCAAACGAGCAAGCGGCCACCTGAATCCACCGAAATGAAAAGCGATCTCTGCCCATAAACGTCCGCAATTGCACATGCCTTGCCTACCCTTAAATGATGGATGATGATGATGAAGCTTATATGGAGGTCTGCACACTACTCATTTTAGTTGTGCAACTAAACAGTTGTATTGACTGCTAAACAATGGACAATCGTCCAACAGTTGTGCAATTGTTTAGTCAAAGTGTGCAGCCGCTCTTACATGACCTAAATGTATGAAAGTCAGGTCACGGTCGACGGACAATCCCGCTGACAGTTGTCATGTAACCGATACTGCGCCCGCGCCGACGGTGGTCGGATCCCACTGACAGTTCGACGAAATCCCCGATGCGGTAGCGACAAGAGTTTTATATTTCCATACGTTGAATATAAGAAAATGAACGTCCCCTTTTCATATCTTTATCCTGTATTCATTTTAACTTTAATATAAGTATAAGTGGAAAGATATGTAATTTTCTAAAAATACAATAACTACTGTACCGATTTATAAAATTCTCTTCTCATTAGTTACGTTATCACTGAGTAATATAGGCTAAGTTTATTATTAGTTTTTTTTTAATCCTGCGAGGATGTAATCGCGAGCATCAACTAGCGTATTATAAACTTAACCTTACAAAAAAATGTTACACTTTTTAATCTGTATTTGGTCATCAAATACGTTAAAATCAGCCTTTTTCAAATCTAATTCGAATGAGGTAGAGATTATGAACGTCTGGAATACTATCTGACAATTACGTACTTCCTAATAGTACAGTGTACCTTTAGTTACGCTTGATATCGTGTTCAAAATGGCTCATAACATAATTATTTCGCAAAACAAACCGAGAAAAATCTGTCATCGTACATCACGATCAAGAACGATTTCTAAGGCCATGTACACAACAAGTTGATTGCGGCGCGCGCCATTAATTCATTCTTGCAGTTTAAACGTAATAAATCGAATTAAATCGGCTCGCGCCCTCGTGATTTCAAAGAGTCGAAATTTGTCCTGACAATATTTATAGCGACAGGCGAGTGCGGCGCATGATACGTTGAGATCAAAGCGTCTTATGTCTAGTGCGTACAGTGTACACACTGCCTTATGTCTGTGGACAGATGAATGTGTCTACACTAAGTGTCGCTCTAAGTGACCTAATAACTAAGAGCTACGGTAAAAGTAACCATTAATAAATAAATTTTGACTAATTAAAGTTCCCAGAAATTATTAGCTAAATTTATTCCAATTATATAAAATAGTAGTTTTTAATCATGAAAACAGAAATAACTACGGTTATTAGAATTAAAATAGACGGTTTATTAAAAAAAGATCGTGTTTTCTGTTACATTTTTTGTCCACCACTTAAGACTTGCGCATGGTATCCCCAAATCAAAAGTCCCGGCGTCACATGTTCGCGAGAGAACATGGAGGTCGCATTGCTCCTCGGGGAGTCCTTAAAAAAACTCGCCTTGTATGTTTTGTAAATAATACTTTATTAGTATCCCGCTATGGCTTTTGAAAATACCGCAAAACAGAAGCAGTTGTAGATGTTTTTTTGTTGCGAAAATGAAACTTTTTTATTATTAAAAGTTACAAATTTAACCTTACTAAAGACTCTAGCTAACTCGATTATGTTTAGAAATAAAACTTTAATAAAAAATACACAGATTAAATAAAATTTAATATATTGCATAAAGTCTTATTGTTCAGTTCCACGCTCCTGGGCAGTTATAATGTCTGTTGATACGGAGCCAGTCCTTGTCAGTTATGTATACACGTTGGCCCATCACACCCTCGTGTTCCTAAAACAATACAATAAGTAGATCAAAACTTCTATTTAAAAGATTGCTTTAGGGTAGTACCAGGTATGGGAACCGTTCAGGGCGCCTGAAAGAGGCGCCTCACGCGCATAAAAGCGCGCCACGAGCGGTTTTTACAAGTATAGGCGTATAATAGGGCGCCTTTTTAGCGACTTCATCCCCGTGAAATATAAAAAAATAGCCTATGTTACTCACAGATAAATTACCTTTCTAACAGTGAAAGAATTTTTAAATTCGGGCCAGTAGTTTTTGAGTTATTTCAATACATAAAAAATTAAAAAAAATCATCTTTATAATATAAACACGGGACACCGTAGAAATCTCGGCCATAGCGTCGGTAATCCTAAAACCCTGCTACTTATAAAATAGTTACAAAACTCTAAAATTCATGAGAAATGTTTTGAAACATACCCTTAAAGGAATAATAGTGTCCTCGCCATTGACGCTGAAAGCACGTGGACCATAGTGCAGGCAACTGACGTAATCGTATTCGATGCCCAAGTTGTTCACTAACTCCGATGTGTAGATATCGAAATTGTGCTCCAGGCCTAAAAAATAAAAAAAAAATAGTATAACATACACACATTGCCTATGCAAGAATAAATTATTAGCCTATGCTAACAAATATAAACTTTATTTTTAAGTATGAATATTTGGTTTACACCAAAATTCAGAGTGAGGTGTTTAGAACGTTAACACTATCTTCTTTTTATAAAACAAAGACAAATGGTTTTTGTCTAGCTTTTTCACCAGTTATGATTAGTTTCTGAAGCTCTCATTTATTTTGACTTTACATAGTTATTGAATATTTAGGTTAACCTATATTTCATTCTTTACGGAATCAAATTATTTGCTATAAATTCTCACCAGGAATAATATTCTCCGTAGCGATATGGACATAATCGTCTCTATCGTGTGTAGACTGCATGTGGAAGAAACCAATAATATGCATGAATTCGTGTACAATGGTGCCGTGTCTGAAGCAGCCGAGGCCGGGCGTGTTGAGAGCCAGGTTCATGGTGTGCACTCCACGTTCCTCCCAGTAGCCGACGTGGGCGTAGCAACCGTTGGGAAAACCCTGTGTATTAAAATTAATAAATAAGACACCAGGATAGAGCGGGCTGGCGACACATTGTGGACGCCTGTGTTCCATATCGGGGACATGCGACAATAAGAAGAAACAAGATACTTCTTTGCTGTTTTATAACTACTTTAGCAATTCTTTTACCCTTGAGTTTAATTTTTAACTTCTGGGCTTGTTTTAATTTATATTTAACTAGAAAAAAATAGATTAACTAAATATTAATAAAGGAAGTTTTTGCATCGGTACGATAGTTTCTTACGTAATCTCAAGTATGAACATTTTATAGCGGTTCTTAGATAGCTGGATCCCATCGTTTAAAATGTCTAATCTCAACAGAATAACTAACTATAAAGATTCACATAAAAAAGGACTACTAACAGTAAGGGAGACATAGTTGGTGTCTTCTGGCCGGCGGTAACGGAACTTTATACAGGTGCTGTTCTCAATGTGCTTGATGCCGTCCTCAATGGCTGCTTTATGGATCTCGTCTGAAAATAACAATTTTTATGAATGAACAACAAAGTTTTATGAATGAAAGGATGGTTGTATAATTGTCTTTAAAGTCTTAATACTTTTAGAAGTATATGTATTAATGATTTAAAAATAATCCCTAATGACTGAACTAACCAACCAGATAACTAACTAACTAATGGTAACGTAACTAACGTATGGTAATGGTAACTAACGTATGTAGTAAAAAGATTTGAATGAAAACAAAGTAATCGATATACTAAGTTAATACATAAGTATGTAATAGTATACTAAGTACATACTAAGTTTAAATATTTTAAGTCCCGAGATATTTTTTCTCTACAAAAGTTATCTAAAATACCATATGTCATTGGAAATACCAAACGATAAAATTGATTGTCCTTGATAGATTGTTTCATCCACTTTTTAATTAACTTTATCTTTGTTATTATCTGTGATTTAAAAACGATTATCCTAATTAATGTGATAAAAGGTACATTTTAAAAACTTTGTGCTGAATATTTAATCAAATCAAAGTTAAATTGTTGATATCAAGATAGTAAAACACTTTTGTTTGGGATTGTACATTCACATTTGTATGCAAACGATACGTGTACAGTGCAATACAGTATAATATATGAGGTTAATAATAATACTAGTTTTTGAAAGAGTGTGTAATTATGTTTTGCTCGCTTTTTAATTGAGAAAACAGAAATATTCTACCTAGACTTTTTTTACTTACTAATGTGGAAACAGGCAAGTATTAAGTAATTTCTAGACAATGTTATCGTATACTATTCTTGCTTATTTTCTTTATTATAACATACCAAAATGATCTTCCGCGTATTCCCAAACGACGGTATTTTCCGGCCACTTTGTACCAGGGTACACGTAAGCGTTTCTTCCCATTGCATACTCTTTGATCATAGACTCGATGGTGACGTCATCAAGAACGATGTCACCCTGGTACTTGCCGCTGTTCTCTTCTGCGTTAGCAGACGGAGATGCACGACTCCTCGCGATGAACTGGCTCTCATCATCTTAGGGTAAAAAAAAAAACTTGTGAATACAAATGACCTGCTCGTTTTTAAATAAATAAATTGATTTGGAGTATTTGGTATTAAGTGTTTATGAAATAATAGAATTATAAGAACGTAAACATTGTTCCGTGGAATGTCTCATCAACAGAAGTGGTAAGATTGTCTTTTTATGCGTCACTTCATTTCAATTAAGAAACTAATATGCAAACCCAAACTTTTAACTTCTTGTGGATGTGTACAATGGGTTACAGTAATATCATACTTTTGGCAAGATCTATTTGCCGATTGCTCCTTTGTCACTTAGTACTATAAAAAATTAGTTATCTTACTGGATTTAGTGCTTTCGAGGAAGTGTCTAAAGGCCTGCACTTCCTCGTCAGTCCTCACCAACACCGGCGTAGCTGCCGCAAGTCCTACAACGCACAACACAACAACGGCCCTCAGCATTTTGACGATTTTGCGTTTCAAATCAAAACGACCATATTTATATAATTGATGAAGGATTTATCAACATTGATAAATGATTACAAGTGTTTATAAAATACTATTATGTTAGTGTGTTTGTCTGTTAGTTTGTGATACAAAACAATAAACCGTTTGCATTGGTCGCTTTTAACGCTATTCTATTTGGAATAACGATGTTTTTCTAGAATTAACTCAGCAAAATTGGCTTATATTTTATACGCTGACTTGGTT